GAAAGGTCGCCTTGATGTTTTGAATATACAGCCAGATCATCCTATGAATCACTCCTGTTCATATCGGATTTCTAAAAGCAATGAAGACATGACCATCAAAGATTGGAACAAATGTATGGCCACTCGTAAGGAGGTACTTGGAAGCAACATTATGCGAAGTACAAAAATTGAAGACAGGATAATCTCCATTCTCCATAATGGAGAGTCAGGGCCTATCTTGTTTTATGCTATTTTACCTTAGAGAAGGTAGTAGGTTCTAGTTGATACTCATGATCATGTGCGATCATGTGCTAAGAACAACTAAGTATGATTGGTTAGATGACTATGATGATGATGTGGTATCGAGTAGAAGTTGTATGATCGATGATGATGAGTAGGACTTGTTATTATGATACCAATGATGAGTTATTTATTATTACGATCGATGCATGATGCTAAGTTGTTATATGAGCATGATGAGTTATTATATATATCAGTAGGTGAAATGAACATGGAATAGATTCAAGTGGAGGCAGCATGTGGTGCACATCGAAAGTACTACTAATCCAAACTAGATCAAGTTTGGATTAGTAGTACTTTCGACATGCACCACATGTTGCCTCCACCTGAATCTACTCCACGTTCATTTCACCCACTGTTATATATAATAACTAATCATGGTCATAAAATCATATGATGAAAGTATTATATATAAAACCACAACAAAAATAAGCTGCAATTTAAGAAATACAGGAAAAGGTAGCAGCAACGCTTTTCTATAGAAACGCTACTGCTACTTACAACTATCAGCAGCACTTTTCAAGCACATTAGGCTCTTGTAGTACTGTTCAAAGCGCTGCTGCTGCTAATGTGCACACCCAAGGCAGGATACATAGGCGCTGAGTGCAGCAACACACTCCCTAGCACTACAAGAGCCGCCGGGGGCTTCAGTCGAAGAAGTGAAGCCGCATATGACGACCCGTGGGCTCCAAGGCGGTGCCTTCAGGAAGGATACGGCACCGGAGCGTCGCCGCTGCCCGATCCGAGGATCAGAGTTTCCGGCCGCCGGGAGCGAGACGGGCCGGTCCTGCTGCCGGGCGCGAGACAAGCGCAGTCTTGCTGCCGGGCGCGAGACGGGCCGGTCCTGCTACCAATCGCGAGACTAGCTCGGTCCTACGGCACCGAGTGCGAGACGGAAGATGGACCGCATCCGGGAGAAGGCCAGCCCTCCGGCGAGAGACGTGGACGGACGCCGAGGAGAGGGGTCGAGGGCCGATACAGGCAGCCTACAGACGGGCCGACGCCAGGACAAACTGGCCGCCGCCGCAACCAACCTGCCACCACCACAGCAGCCGCCGGGCCCGCACCCCCGCAGCCACCGCCACTGCGCCGCCACCCCGACCAGCCGAGGAGGCCACGGTCAGGGCCGCCGCCCGCAGCCCCAGTCTTCGCGGCCCGCGCCGCCGTGAGGTCAGATCTGAACGAGCCGACGCGACCGTCGTCTCCAACCTCCGGCCCGCACCACCACCACCAACTGCCGCGAAGCCGCCACCACCTGTCGTGTCCACGACAGAGATGGCCACCAGCAGCCCGAGCCACCCGCAGCCCGCGCCGTCATGAGCCAGATCCGGCCGCGCAGAAAACGCCGCCGTCGCGGGCACAAACGCGTCACCCACCCGCGTCCAGCCCTCCGCGCCAGGCCTACAGCATCGGCCACCGCCGCCGAGCGCAGCCCCGCGCCGCCGCGCCCCGGATCCGCGCTGCGCCAGGCTCCACGAGCGGGGAGAGAAGGGGCCCCGCCGCCGCCAGCACCCCCCGGGCTTTGCCCGGCGGCGCGGACAGGCGGCAGCGAGGGGGGGGAGGGGGGAGGGGGGACGCGCGCCGGCGGCTAGGGTTATCCCCTCGGTCGCTCGCGGGAGCGACGCGAGGGGAGGTGAGGGCGAGAGAAGTCTATGTTCCGGGGTTAATTAACAATCTTGAGTTAACAAAACTACTACCTACGGTTTATGCGATCGTCTAGAGTATAAGCCTGAGGTTGGGAGCGTCCTTCCACCTACACTCCTACAAGCACATCCACACAAGCATACCTTAGCAAGCTCTGAGCTAGCCTGCCACACCGGTGAAACAATGGAGGCGGCGCGCTGGTGAGTGTGGCGACGGGGGCCCTGAAACCCGTCATCGGGAAGCTGGCAACTCTGCTCGGTGATGAGTACAAACGTTTCAAAGGTGTACGCAAAGAGATCAGGTCCCTCACACATGAGCTCAAGGCCATGGAGGCTTTTCTCCTGCAGATGTTGGAGGAGGAGGACCCTAGTTTGCAGGATAAGGTGTGGATGAATGAGGTGCGGGAGCTCTCCTATGGCATGCAGGACTGCATCGATGACTTCATGGAACATGTTGATCACAAGGACACAAAGCCGGATGGCTTCATGGACAAGATCAAGCACTCACTCGGGAAGTTTCGGAAGATGAAGAATCGACATCGGATTGGCAATGAAATCCAAGATCTGAAGAAACAGATCGTGGAGGTGGGTGAGAAAAATGAAAGGTACAAGACTCGCCAGCCCTTCTCCAACAACAAAAATGCAACTGTTGACCCTAGAGCCCTTGCTATCTTTGAACATGCCTCAAAGCTTGTTGGAATTGATGAGCCAAAGGCAGAGGTAATCAAATTGTTGACCGAAGAGGATGGAGTTGTGCAAACCCAACGGGGACTGAAGGTGGTCTCCGTCGTCGGATCTGGAGGAATGGGCAAGACTACTCTTGCAAATCAAGTGTATCAAGAGCTCAAAGGGCAGTTCAAGTGTCCGGCTTTCGTATCAGTGTCACGAAACCCGGACATGATGAATATCTTGAGAACCATTCTCAGTGAAGTTAGCGATAAGGATTATGCTCACACTGAGGCTGGGAGCATACAACAACTGATATGTAAGATCAGCGATGCCCTGCGGGAGAAAAGGTACCATTTATATATTCATTTTAGGTTACCTGTCATTCTTTAGTGCATAAATTTTCTATTTAGATTTTTCATATAAAATGTACACTGGTATTTTTCATCAAAGTAGTTCCGTAAACATATTTTACTATGGCTTAGAAAAAGAAAGTGATGTTTGTATATTGGAGGCAAATTGAGGCATATAGGCGCAATAAATAACTAGCAGATGTCTTCAGTTGTGTGCCTCTTATAATGCATAAAGCGAAAGTTACTTATTTTGTTAGTACAATTATTAGCATTGATCCTTCAATCAGGCGCGTATGCTACAAGATATTGGTTATCTTATATTCTTATATGAACTGCCTATACGAAAAACATTATTATGGTGTATGCGCTTTGATATGTTGTCAATCGAAAAACTTGAGTTTCTCGTTCTTTTCCTTTTGTTGTACACTTCATTTTCAGTCATACTAACTACTGGTTCCTTCTCACATTAGTTGTCGCTGAAATGGATGTATCTAGATGTATTTCAATGCTAGATATATCTGTTTGAACAACAATTAATATGGGACGAATGGAATAATAACTAATGTATCACTCATAAAACATGTGTAGGTACATTATGGTGGTTGATGATATATGGGATGTGAAAACATGGGATGTCATTCGACACGCATTCCCCATGACAAGTTGTGGCAGTATAATAATCACCACTACTCGTGTCACTGATGTCGCGTATTCATGCTGTTCATCAATTGGTGGACATATGTTCAATATAAGACCTCTTAATATGGTGCACTCAAAACAGTTATTTCATAGAAGATTATTCAACTCCGAAGAAGATTGCCCTTCATCTCTTGAAAAAGTTTCTGACGAGATTTTGAAGAAATGTGGTGGGTTACCTTTGGCCATCATTGCTATATCTGGTTTGTTGGCTAACACAGGAAAAACAGAGCAGCAGTGGAGCCAAGTGAAAGATTCGATTGGCCGTGCAGTTGAAAGAAATCCCAGTGTCGAAGGAATGATAAAGATATTGTCACTTAGCTACTTTGATCTACCTCCTCGTCTGAAAGGTTGTCTTCTGTATGTAAGTATATTTCCAGAAGACTCTTGCATTCACAGGCACATGTTGATATGTAGATGGATTGCCGAAGGACTCATTCACAAAGAGGGCAGATATACGGCATATGAGATAGGAAAGAGATGTTTTAACGAGCTCATCAATAGGGGTTTGATCCAACTTGTACAGTTTGATGACTATAGAATGGTGTGTGCTTGTCGAGTTCATGACACAATTCTTGATTTCGTAATATCCAAATCCATTGAAGAGAACTTTGTTACTTTTCTTGGTGTCCCTAGTTTAACTATCCAGACACAAAGCATAGTTCGTCGGCTGTCCCTACAAGTTGAAGGGGAAGGAATTTCTGTTGTGCCGACAGGCCTGGTATTGTCTCATGTTCGATCACTTAATGTGTTTGCGGATAGAGTGGAAATCCCTTCAATGGTGGAGTTCAGGCATTTGCGTGTTATGGACTTTGAAAATTGCAAACAATTGAAAAACCGCCATCTTGCTAATATAGGGAGGTTGTTTCAGCTAAGATACCTCAACATAAGCTGCACACATGTAACAGAGCTACCAGAAGAAATCAGACATCTACAGTGGTTAGAGATATTTGACATAAGTGGCTTGTCATTATGCGATTTACCAGTAGGCATTGTCAATCTCAGGAAATTGACACATTTATTTGTTAACATTGAAGTTAGGTTTCCTGATGGAATTGCGAACTTGCAAGCACTGGAGACATTTCAAGAAGTGCACGGCTTGGTGCAGTCATATAACTTTCTGCAAGAGCTTGGGCAGCTAAAAAATCTGAGGAAACTGACATTTCGTCATTGCCATGTCCCCCAAGAGCACAAGGAAGTTATTGCTTCTTCTCTCCATAACCTATGCACACACAACCTTCGTTCTTTAACTCTGTGGTCTGCTGGTGAGAGCGTGTTACTCAACACATGGTGCACCTCCCCTCCGCTTAACCTGCAAAAACTTGTTACCCACGGCTTATGCCTGCCGAAGGTTCCGGATTGGATGGGATCCCTCGCGAACCTGCAGAAGTTACGTTTGGAATTGGAGAGAATCCAGCATGAAGACTTGTGCATGCTTGGGGCCTTACCCGCCATGCTCACTCTGGATCTCAATAACAATGATAAGTCTCACTGTGAAGATATGAAGATGACAATCAGTCGTGAACTTGGGTTCCCATGCCTGAAAGAGTTTAATTACAAGACCCAAGATAGGACGATGGATCTCATGTTTACAGCAAGATGTATGCCAAAGCTAGAGAAACCGGAGATTTGGCTTTCCGGTCAACAAAATGAATCTCTCATTAGTGCTGGTGCTTTCTGTTTCGGGATCAAAAACCTCTCCAGCCTCGTTACTTTCAGATTTATGTTAGATTGTCCGGTAGCCACAAGGAGCACTGTTGGCACCGTAAAGGATTCTCTGGAGAAAGAAATCGGCAAACATCCCAACAGCCGCCTTAATCTAATCTTCGATGATCATAATGGATTTTACTCTTGATTGGAGTCGGACCAGCCATACATAGGTACATCACTACTAATATATACTGTATATATATGGCTTACCAATAAGTTCCGAACACTTACTATACTCTTTCTTGAATTGAACAGCTCCTATAGTCTTCTCATTTTCATTGTAATATGAGCTTATAGATTCTAACTTTCCAAATCAATTGCAGTGCTATGATGTGGATGCCTCAGTAGCTCCTGTTGGACGAATGACAAAGCAATCTCTCTCGCTGAATGGACTCGAGAGTCAAGATGCTGCTGCACTTGATGATATGGCGTTCTGCTGGATATTACTGTCCGGTCTTGTGCTGTTGTCAAATTGAGAATTAGTCCCAGACTCCCAGTACATGCTAGATCTCTCTCTTGAAGAGATCATTATTCTTGTTGATTACTTCTCCTATGCTGTACAAATTAGGATGATACTATATCAGTTGCTTCCTCGCAGTGTTACAACCGTTTCTTGAACTACATACAGCCCATGAGACCTTCTATAGTTTCCTCAACAGTTGGTTCTGCCTGATATGCTTACAGTTTTTGCACTGTAATATACGCTTTCTATCAATGTTACATTAATGGTACTATTAAATATTAATTCAATTTTCTTTCTGTTTTAACCACCTTAATTTGGTTGTGCATCGATGAAGCTTTGTGCCACTTCTATGCTAGTTCATTGGACTATGCAATTCATAAGCTCTCCTTGCTTTCACGACGATGTGGATGCCGTTATATATGCTTAAAGTTTAATTGTAAGCTGCGCTCCATTAGCAGGGCGTTTGATGTTGCAACGGAGGCACTCACTAGTTAGTGGTGTACCTTCATTCTGAAGTTTCTACATTTTCAGTGATGACTTGATGCTCAAATTGGTCTCTGATGAGGGAAGTTTATTAACTGCTGCATGCTTCAGACAGAGATCGATTAGTACATATGTGAGGTTTTTTCAGTCTTTTAAACCAGCAAGTGCCATTGCTTTATCGGCCTTTTCTTGGGAGATAGGTGGCAGGCCAACTAATTGTGTTGTGTGTGTCAAACAACATATTCTTTGTACGTGACAAGGGGCTGCCGCATCTTCCCCTTGGTAGATATCTTGGTAGTTTGGCTAGGTAGTTAGCTAGAGTTTATCTCCTCTTTGTAATTTTATCTCTATCTAGCTTCTTCTCCAAGATGTAATCTAAACTGTATGCGCTATTAGGGAGGTGCGCCCCTGCCTATAAACACGTACGGCGTCCCCTCAGGTTGAGGTACAACGCTTTCCGCCATCGCACATGGTAATCAGAGCCCTTCTCTTCCACAACGTCTAAACCCTAAAACTCCATCCAGGGCAAATCATATCGTCCTCCTCCGGTGCCTCCCAGGCTAGCCTCAACGGCCAAGTCAAGGAGAGGCTTTCCCGCACCAACTACGTCCTCTGGCGTGTGCAGATCACGCCGCAGCTAAGGGGCGCGGGTGTCTTCTGCTACGTCGACGGCACTACACCGGAGCCGGCCAGGATCCTCTCCACCAAGGACAAAGATGGGAAGGAATCGACTGCGCCGAACCCTCTCTACGCCGTCTGGGCGCGAGAGGACCAGCAGGTGCTCGGGTACCTGCTGAACAACCTCACCAAGGAGGTGCTCGTGCAGGTGACCGCGATCACCACGGCGCGCGAGCTCTGGACGGCACTGTCGGGGATGTTCTCCTCGCAGTCGCTCAGTCGCGTGAACAACATCAGAACCTCTCTGGTGAACACGCAAAAGGGCAACAAGACCGTCGCCACCTACTTCGCCGAGATGCGCGGCCTCGCAGATGAACTGGCCGCCACCGGGAAGCCGCTCCAGGACGATGAACTCGTCTCCTACATCCTCCACGGCCTCGACATGGACTACCAGCCGCTCGTCTCCGCCCTCGACGCCCGCACCTCCCCGGTATCCCTCGATGAGCTCTTTTCAATGCTGAGTAATTTTGATCAGAGGGTGGCACAGTATCAGGGATCGGGCGGCTTCAAGTCATCAGCTAACGCAGCGATGCGTGGGCGCGGTGGCTACTCTCTGCTGGGGAACGTTGCAGAAAATTAAAAATTTTCCTACGGTTTCACCAAGATCCATCTATGAGTTCATCTAAGCAACGAGTCAAGGGAGTGAGTTTGCATCTACATACCACTTGTAGATCGAGTGCGGAAGCGTTCAAGGGGATGGTGATGATGGAGTCGTACTCGACGTGATTCAGATCACCAATGACCAAGTGCTGAAAGGACAGCACCTCCGCGTTCAACACACGTACGGTACGGATGACGTCTCCTCCGTCTTGATCCAGCAAGGAGGAAGGAGAGGTTGAGGAAGACAGCTCCAACGGCAGCACGACGGCGTGATGTTGTTGGTGCAGCAGTACTCCGACAGGGCTTCGCCAAGCACGTACGGAGGAGGAGAGGTGTTGGGGAGGGGAGGGGCTGCGCCTTGGCTTGTGTATTCAGCCCTCCCCTCACCCCTCTATTTATAAGGGAAGGGGCAAGGGGGGCCGGCCCCTCTAGATGGGATCTAGAGGGGGGGCGGCGGCCAGGGAGGGGGAACTTGCCCCCCAAGCAAGGGGGGCGCCCCCTCTAGGGTTCCCCCCAAACCCTAGGCGCATGGGCCCAAGGGGGGGCGCCCAGCCCTCCAGGGGCTGGCTCCTGCCCCACGCAGCCCATGTGGCCCCCCGGGAGGGGTGGCCCCTCCCGGTGGACCCCCGGAACCCTTCCGGTGGCCCCGGTACAATACCGATATGCCCCCGAAACCTTCCGGTGTTCATATGACAGCTTCCCATATATAAATCTTTACCTTCGGACCATTACGGAACTCCTCGTGACGTCCGGGATCTCATCCGGGACTCTGAACAACCTTCGGTAATAACATACAAGTCTTCCTAATAACCCTAGCGTCACCGAACCTTAAGTGTGTAGACCCTACGGGTTCGGGAGACACGCAGACATGACCGAGACGGCTCTCAGGTCAATAACCAACAGCGGGATCTGGATACCCATGTTGGCTCCCACATGCTCCTCGATGATGTCATCGGATGAACCACGATGTCGAGGATTCAAGCAACCCCGTATACTATTCCCTTTGTCAATCGGTACATTACACGCCCGAGACTCGATCGTCGGTATCCCAATACCTTGTTCAGTCTCGTTACCGGCAAGTCACTTTACTCGTACCGTAATGCATGATCCCGTGACCAAACACTTGGTCACTTTGAGCTCATTATGATGATGCATTACCGAGTGGGCCCAGAGATACCTCTCCGTCATACGGAGTGACAAATCCCAGTCTCGATCCGTGTCAATCCAACAGACACTTTCGGAGATACCTGTAGTGCACCTTTATAGTCACTCAGTTACGTTGTGACGTTTGGTACACCCAAAGCACTCCTACGGTATCCGGGAGTTACACGATCTCATGGTCTAAGGAAGAGATACTTAACATTGAAAAAGCTCTAGCAAAACGAACTACACGATCTTGTGCTATGCTTAGGATTGGGTCTTGTCCATCACATCATTCTCCTAATGATGTGATCCCGTTGTCAATGACATCCAATGTCCATAGTCAGGAAACCATGACTATCTGTTGACCAACGAGCTAGTCAACTAGAGGCTCACCAGGGACGTGTTGTGGTCTATGTATTCACACATGTATTACGATTTCCGGATAATACAATTATAGCATGAATAAAAGACAATTATCATGAACAAGGAAATATAATAATAATGCTTTTATTATTGCCTCTAGGGCATATTTCCAACAGTCTCCCACTTGCACTAGAGTCAATAATCTAGTTACATTGTGATGAATCGAACACCCATAGAGTCCTGGTGTTGATCATGTTTTGTTCGCGAGAGAGGTTTAGTCAACGGATCTGCGACATTCAGATCCGTATGTACTTTGCAAATATCTATGTCTCATCTTGAACATTTTCACGGATGGAGTTGAAACGACGCTTGATGTGCCTGGTCTTCTTGTGAAACCTGGGCTCCTTGGCAAGGGCAATAGCTCCAGTGTTGTCACAGAAGAGTTTGATCGGCCCCGACGCATTGGGTATGACTCCTAGGTCGGTAATGAACTCCTTCACCAAAATTGCTTCATGCGCTGCCTCCGAGGCTGCCATGTACTCCGCTTCACATGTAGATCCCGCCACGACGCTCTGCTTGCAGCTGCACCAGCTTACTGCTCCACCATTCAACATATACATGTATCCGGTTTGTGACTTAGAGTCATCCAGATCTGTGTCGAAGCTAGCGTCGACGTAACCCTTTACGACGAGCTCTTCGTCACCTCCATAAACGAGAAACATGTCCTTCGTCCTTTTCAGGTACTTTAGGATATTCTTGACCGCTGTCTAGTGTTCCTTGCCAGGATTACTTTGGCACCTTCCTACCAAACTTACGGCAAGGTTTACATCAGGTCTGGTACACAGCATGGCATACATAATAGATCCTACGGCTGAGGCATAGGGGATGACGCTCATCTCTTCTTTATCTTTTGCCGTGGTTGGGCATTGAGCCGAGCTCAATTTCACACCTTGCAATACAGGCAAGAACCCCTTCTTGGACTGATCCATTTTGAACTTCTTCAAAATCTTATCAAGGTATGTGCTTTGTGAAAGACCTATGAGGCGTCTCGATCTATCTCTATAGATCTTGATGCCTAATATATAAGCAGCTTCTCCAAGGTCCTTCATTGAAAAAACACTTATTCAAGTAGGCCTTTATGCTGTCCAAGAATTCTATATCATTTCCCATCAAAAGTATGTCATCTACATATAATATGAGAAATGCTACAGAACTCCCACTCACTTTCTTGTAAACGCAGGCTTCTCCATAAGTCTGCATAAACCCAAACGCTTTGATCATTTCATCAAAGCAAATGTTCCAACTCCGAGATGCTTGCACCAGCCCATAAATGGATCGCTGGAGCTTGCATACTTTGTTAGCATTCTTAGGATCGACAAAACCCTCCGGCTGCATCATATACAGTTCTTCCTTAAGATGCCCGTTAAGGAATGCCGTCTTGATGTCCATCTGCCATATCTCATAATCATAGTATGCGGCAATTGCTAACATGATTCGGACGGACTTAAGCTTCGCTACGGGAGAGAAAGTCTCATCATAGTCAATCCCTTGAACTTGCCGATAACCCTTAGCGACAAGTCGAGCTTTATAGATGGTGACATTACCATCCGCGTCCGTCTTCTTCTTAAAGATCCATTTGTTTTCTATCGCTCGCCGATCATCGGGCAAGTCAGTCAAAGTCCACACTTTGT